ACTAGCCGTCGCTCAAAGGTGCCGAGAGCTCGCCTCAAAAGCCTCAACTTCAAGTTCGCTACACTTGCTGTTTTCGAACATTGCAGCGAATTGTCAAGACTCTCTTGCACGATTATACCTAAATCGCGTCCAGAAGTCACATGCTGCAGGACGTGTTGCCCCAAATGTTATGTGTTGACGAAGCTGCTGCTCACCGACAGCAGGTGGCATTTTGCAGGGTTCAGTGGGAGTTCATTCCTTTCTGCCCATTCGTTAATCCAAGTAGGATTTTCTTAGAGCTAGACACGGTCGGATGCTGAGCGAATTGCTCTCCATATTTTAGCATCTTCTGCAAATATTTGCATCGGAGACAGAATGTCTGCTGGAAACTCATTAATGTAGTCTAAAACAATAGCGGGCCCAGGACGGATCTTTGTGGTACACCACTGGAGGCGCACAGGCTTGCTGAGTGAGTATCGGCAACTCTTACCTTGATTGCTCTATCGTGTAAGTAGTCCTCTAACCAGGTGAGCAGGGAACCGTTGATACCATAGGCAGCTAGTTTTTGGAGGAGAAAGGAGTGATTGTCCCTGTCGAATACTTTAGAAAAATCCAAGTAACAGTTAACTTCTTTTCAGTTGTGGTAGTGGAGGATTAACGTAAACGTTTCGTCACAAGTTTTTAAGTGTCACTTCAATTTGGCACAGCCAGACGTGGCCATGCAGCGAATTTGCATCACCAGAGCGCTTGGGGGTTGCTTTTTTATTTAGATCCTCACCAGCTGCAAAGATTTCTCCATATTCCCACCACAGTAAAGCAGTTGAACAAGAGATTCACAAATCAATGGTACTCATACCGTGAGTGGTGATGTCCAACTGCGAGGATAACTTATAATATTAGAGGTATCGCGTCACCTTTCCAGCCCCATACAAGTTGTTAGCAAGCAGCTAACAGAGCTTGCAGCCAAGGTAACAATAGAACTTGATAAGCCTTTGTGCACCTCGGCCAAATGAGGTAATTCGTACCTTCGACGCAAAAGAGTGTCTTAGATAAATTTAATTAGTTTGTAATAAGTAAGACTTGGTTCCTTACATCATGGTAAATTCCGCTTTAGCATGCAATTGCTTTCCACGGCTGGGATACCATGTGTTTGAATGCGGAGTAACATTGACAAAATTAGCCGCTTAATGGATGACACAACTTTCACAAATACAAAACTGCGATTAATCAGTCAAGTCAGTCATATACATTACTCAGTTACTGGCGTCTCCGAAATAGCAATGCTGTAAAACTATGGAAAATGGATCACCTAAGAACTCCGCAGTGTGCCGTAGGTACGCAGTAAGATTGCCATTGAAGCTAGTGCTATTAAAGCACTGAAGTTCACCAATTGCGGCAAATGATATGATTTGTGTCTGTTTGCCCGATTGCATTATCTGTCTCTAAATGCATTAGTTTTGTTTATTAGCGCCACTTTTATGCATTAAGGTCTAACAACTACAACTTCAGTCCACCGATAACTTCACTGCCACTTCCTGTTTTTATCCCACACAGGATAAAAGTACCTGTGAGTTCCAAACCCAAATGATTCTTAAATGTTTAAAACAGGGGTTACAGGAATAGACCACATTTCCTCCTTTCAATCTTAACTAAGGTCTTACAAGAATAGTTTGGCAGAGACCTGGGTACGGCATAGTTACTACAACCCGTTGCAAGCGTTGTATTCTTTGAATGACACACTTCGTTCTAGTTTACTTCTGTGGCATAATGATATACATGCAGCGGCAAACTAGCAAATATCTGAACAGCCACATCAACACGGATATCACAAACATACTTCGTGAAAACAGAAGCTCAAACAGTGTACCTGAAGAACGGTTTTTCATCTCGATGACCCTGCCTTTGAAAACTAGCCATCCGGAAGTTAGAGATAATAGAACAAATGGTGACCGGAGCATCAACCATTCTACTAGGCAATGTACTAGACAAGTATTTACGCATATTAACAACTGCACACACCAACCACTGCCACGGTCTGGTCCGAAATGTCCTGGAATCACCAAGATTTGTGCAATCTCGACTGACCATAGATTGGTTGAACTTTGGCAGACTTTTTGTTCAACCTTCAGCCGGAGAAAAACATACTTGTTCTACTCAAAACGAGTTGGTGTTTACCATGTGTGTGTGTGCATGAAAAGCACTGAAGGGCCATCAAATCTAGCATGCTTTAAACCTGATCCAGTGAGCGTCACCGCTTGTTGTTTAAGAAGGTCCACCTAGTGGGGCATGTGGTGACACGGTTTGTCCAACCTCTTAACATGTCAGCACAAGGTTGGACAGACTCCTGTGTCTATGTGATACGATACCGAGAATGAAACACACATTTTCTCACAGTTAGGTCCACTGTCGCAAGTGCAAACTATCCACAACATGAATAACTTTGGCAAGTTGTCCTTTCTGATGAATCAGACTATGGAAGCTGTAAACCCGATCCATTTTTTGCATTTGTCCTACCATATTTCAACCCTTCGAATAAGGCCAATTAACGTTTAAAACTGAGCAAGTTACTTATACTCTGTGACAAACTGCTGTCACTTTTCTCAAGACACTTCATTGCGTTCATGCCATCTTCAGCACTGATGTTGGCAATCAATTTGATGAGTTCGTAAAACATGTGGCTCTCTATCTAAATAACGTATAACATCCCCCAACGGAACTCTATTATTCTCCCTCGTGTCCTAACAAGTTTGCCCAACGCGTACATTGATTTGTTATGTTTAACGGCAGACACTTACTCAAAACTACCGCATGTTGACGGGCTGTGCCGTTCAAGATCAATGAGTAGGCATCGGACACACCGGATTTCCGGCCCGTTTGACATTACCAAAACTTTCTGACCGACATCGAGACACAGAACAGTCAGTATCAAAAATTTATTTCATGTTTTCTAATGGGAGTTTTATAATTCAAAACAGGTCGCTTGCTTTTAAGCACCCAAATCATATATGATCGATGGTATAAGAACTAGTGACCTTGTGAATATGAGCGGATGTCCACTTACTTATGAAAGCTTCAAATATAGATGAAATAATCCATAGTGCTCATAGAAAAGGGTCAATGAACACAATACGACTCGTGAGTGCATGAGGTCCTAGCACCCGCCCTGTATATTGGATTGCGACACGCAACCTCATTTGTGGCCTGGGTTAACCTTGTAGTCAGACTGTCATTCTGATCACTAGGACCTCATCCGAAGTGGAAGGTTCCGGTGTCGCTCTCTCCCATTCCTGCAATCTACGACCGACCGGTTTCTTCCCAATTTGGACTCGTCAGGGAGATACAGCCTTATCTGCAAGTGGGAATCAGCGCATAGTGGTTGGCGGCAATTCCCATGATCACTAGGTTATTGAACTCCGCGAGCAGTGTTTGACAAAGCGGTTAGAAGTTGATTTTTGTGTTTTAGACCGCCCGTCGTGTGTCTTGGATTGCGACACGCGATATCTATTGTGGTCTGGGTTGACAATGTGATCAGCATCTGCTATTCCCATCCCTGGGATGGTCTTCCAACTCTTAATGAACAAATTTACACCAAGACATATTGTCGTCTAAATTGAGGTTCGATATTTTAATCCAAACAAACGGCGTGGCACTCCAATGATATAACATGGAATTCCTAGTTTCTTTGATGATATTTGGACTGGCTGTGGAGAACAGCGTTGAGAGAGAGGTCGAAACCAAAAACCGTTCATTTGTCTGTAATGGCTGAATTTCACTTTTATGTACATCGCCGTTGAATATGCGGCTGCGTGTTGCATGACAAAAGTGAATTCCCGACAGATGTGACAAGGATTTCTCATGGCGTCGACTGGCTCAGAAACCCAAGGCGAATGCCGACAACATCTGCTTGAGGGATTTCACTCCCATCTTCAGCTGCTTCTAACTAAAGAGCCCGTGCAAGCTGAGACCAAGTGTGGGGTGGTATTGATGCGACTCAAATGGAAAACTCATCGCTTAGGTTGTGGTGCAGATGATCCGGATGACTGGGGTCTACTTCAAAGCGAACTGCGTCTTGGACTGCTAGGAAATGTTACATAGTAACCTAAAGGAAGAAATTCATACTATTTGCTATCAAGAGGACTTCAGCTACTTGTGACGTCTGTCGAAAATCTGTTGGTCACCCGTTTGAGTCCCTGAACGTTTACATCTGCCCAAACTGTCCAACTAGGGGCAGAAGCCCGAGGAATCCATTATTGATGGTGACCCAGATGGATGGTATGGTCAAGTTAGGTACTCTCTCAACGTTCGAAGAGCGGAGGTTTAACTCTTCAAAATGTCTCGAACAAACTTGAGCATAGGTATCTCAAATTTTAACCCACAAAAGAAATACTTAGCTTGGAAAAACAATACCTGATAAGTGTACGTTTTTGATGGTTTTTACGTCAATGAACTCTCAGGCATTTTCGTCATATATAAAATGGGCGGTTCGCACTGATATATTAATCGGTAACAAACATTCCGCATTAAAATTTAAATTAGGATTTTGCGTTCTTGATAACAGGAAGATCATGCAGTTATCAATGGGTATTTCTATACCAGTCAGGGACGTATATCAATCATTGTTGAGCCCCCATCCATTTTCCATGCGCGCAATTAAGTGCGTGAACAAGAGTGCATGATAATCCCTTGTAATCAAATCTTCTGTTAGAACTATGTTTGTTTTGAGTCCGAATGTTGCTGATGGGTTGACGTTGGGTATTTCAACTTTACTTCTGTGGATAACTAGGGGGAGTTCATGCTCTTCACCTTCTCTAAATAGCAGATTTACGCATGATCTACTCTTTCGTGTTCACAAAGTATACGCCGATCAATTCTGTTATGCAAGCTAGTTACTTCAGATGTAAAGCCTCTATTTATTCCCAGCATATAATTATTATAAGTAACATAATCGCTGGCTCTTTCAACCTTCCTACTGTTGAAGATTTACTCGTCAACTCAATCACAGCATGTGGGATATGACTCACCTATTGAGCATCTCCGTGTTGATTGACTCACGGCAGTATTCATGCAGCGATCCATCTCATCGCGAACTTCACTGGTACACTCGAAGCGAGCATCAGCATGGCACAAGGTTGCCCCCAACATGATCATCAAGAGTGGATACCACATTGCGCAATCAGGCCACAACCGGAGCCTACTAACTTCACTTTCGACGTATTGCTCTCAATATTTTGTCAGTCCGTTTATATATGTGCGCAGGCACCTGTTACTGTGCGACCCAAGTCTAGCTAGCGTCCGTGATCCAATCAGCATTAAGTGTGCTTGGCGCCGGATCAGTGTGCCTGCCTTCGGTGGCTTCAGTCGCGCACGCCCACGCAGCCCGTAGTGTGTGATGCAGCCAATGGCTCATGCCATTGAAGCAAATGTTATCCGAACAGATGAGGAAAGTTGCATTAAAACGCAATATGCATTCGTTGGAAGAACATGTCGTTATTTGTACGGTTTCATGAGAGCGATAGGATGACAGGCAGATGTGCTAACGCTTGGTAATTCGTATTGGATTACCGAAGTGGAAGACATCACAGTAAGAGTAGCCCCAGGAACAGACCACACCTGGTGGTAGTGAACTTACGGTATGTTCACAAAAATGGAGATTTAAATGCGCTCACAAGGTTTTATGGGTCGAAAGATCGGCGATGAACAGAGGTATTGTCAAGTAATGTAGGTACTTTGGTATATCGAGATTCAATTTTAGATGCAGCTACTTGCGCAATAATGTTGTGATTTGAATGGGTAAAACACAGGTGAAAAACGGAGAAAAATTCCTTGTAATTTCCAAATTTCTCTACCATCGGACAAGTGCAGCTTGTAGCTCACCAGGTTTCTTATCTTACCAGGTAGTAAAAGGTCAGAGTAAAGGTTTCTGCGCTATCTGTAATCTTAGTTGCCTTGTTTAGATCGCCTCGTAGATGCCAGTACTTTTCTAGCGCAACAGCGGCACATCAACCATTCGAAATGATGCTTCGCTGTCATACAACCAAGTCGGATAGAAGAGGGACTTTCCTTAAAATCTTAATGCCTAAGCAAACCTTCAGAGCAAAGGTGCTCACACTTTGTGAAAAGAAAATACCGTCACAAACAGCTGACTATCATGCAAGCATAAGGCGTCATCGGCGAGACAACTTCCTTGCGGCTTTCACTGCCCCTCGTCACCATCAGCTATTACAGCACAGATAGTTCAGCACCAAACACACTTTAAACTGGGAATCTGTCTACCATACGGCAGCAGACGCGCCACTGGTGTCGGTTGCGAGCGATGTCCTGTAGAGACTTGAGCTAAGCTCAAGGCAAGTCACGTGGACTACAGCCTGGAAGGTGAGACGGACCGACGGTGCCCAGTGGCTACATTTCGCGCTGCCAAATCAACATCTTCCTCCTCTAGCCTTGCGCCGCCCTCCATCTGGCAGACTAAACAAGGCGCTCCTACGTAAGCGGTTACCAGGCATACGGAGCACATGCTAAAGCCAACGCAACTTATTCAGTGCTATCTCTTGTTCTAGAGGGGTAGCATGATTATCACTGCCTAGTACTCACCTACGCACATAATCTATGCGGACACGCTGACGCCATCCGACACCAGCAATGCTTCACAGACAACGATGACCAAAGACTAGAATGCGCCTTAGATCTTCACACCTAAGGGGCCAATATTCAATATCATAGAGCAGGACGGCCCTCATGGTGGCCTGGTATACAATGCCTTTCAGACGGAAGGAAACTCCCTTCTGCTGCCAAGGATGTCGCAAATTCGAAGACAGTACTGGCTTTTCCAATCCATGAGCTGACTTTAGTTTCTATTCGCCCATCGTTGCAAACGCAGCTGCCAAGGTTAATGAATTAATCAACCACCTCGGGTTCCACTTTAGCATGGATCAAGGGGTTATAAAGTGGCTGGGGGATCTGCAGCAACACTGCACTTTGAAAGTGCGTAGCGCCTACCAAATGATGAGACCACTCTAGACAGGCTATTCAAGATTGATTATGCCGCTGCAACATCGTCGTAAAGCAAGACGATATCGTCCGCGTAATCAAAATCAAATAATCTTTCACCAGACATGGATTCGAAGCCTACATAGTTAGATTCAGCATGGGAACACTCCATAATAGAAGGCACAATGTAAAGGAACAAAAAGGGGGAAACCGGACTACCCTGACGAAAGCCACTTGTGGTCGGAGAGCTGTCCGACAGGTAGCCGTAGACCATGAGGTGGCTTGTGATGTTCGAGTTTAGAGCAGTGGGGTTGTCACATACTTTGTGGGGACGTCTTTCTCCCCAAGTATTTCAAACAGAGTGAATCGATCGACTGAATCGAACGCAATCTTAAATCGAGCAACACAGCTGTTGTCGGTCTGCGATATGCGTGGCGTTGCTGTAGCACCTGCCGCGGAGTGAATATTAACTCTATACAGCCACGTTCTGAGCGAAAACCTGCTTGCTCTTTCATAACCCGAGCTTCCTGTTTCACCGTTAGGCGTCGAACGATAATTGAGGCATAATTTTGTCACAACTGACGTTAGGCTAATACCCCTGTGTGCAAATGCCCTTCTTTTATATTGCCATCATAATCGATTCGCTCCAGGTCGCTGGAACACTATCTTCCTTCCAGAATTGTGAGCTCAGTGCTTTGCAGAGGACTTCACCTCCATGCTTAAATAGTACAAGTGGGAGGGATTCCGGGTCAACAGCACGATAAGGCTTGAGGGATGTGTTTGGGTTTCGGACCTCAGCCTCCGACGGAGCCTCTAAACTAACCGTCCATAGCTCGTCCTGCATCACCTTGGTAGGAAGACGCCCGGGAGCAGGGGCCAAGATGGACTGACTGATCTTGAAAGTGTTCCCTCCAACGAGCCATACGGCGATCTTTATTTGCATCAGTACACCCGCGCTGTCCCTAATTGTCTTACTGACTTCTGGTGTCCAGGGAACATTGGTTCGCATCAACTAGAAGAGCTTGCTGTAATTGCCTATTGCTCCTGCCTACGCCCTTACTTGAGCCTGACTGCTCCAGCAGGCAAACTTCTCAGCACGTGGCCTCTGTTTTAATGCACGTCTTATAGCCCATCTGGTCACATTGTACTCAGAGCCAGCCGAGAGGTTTCTTCTGCATTCAAACAAGTTCACCGACCTCTGGGATGTCCAGTGACGGGTGCGGGGACGACTGTTAATATCACAAGCAGATACTCCTGCGTCGTGCATAGCGGCCGAGAGCTTATTCCACTGAAGTTCAGTATCACTAGGACAAGACAGCGAAAGTTCGGTACTCACTGCGTCTTTATAGGCTTGTCTGACCAAGGACTGAAATTATTTCTCATTTGCTAATCACAGTAGACGCTCGATGCGCGTCCCGGTGAAGTTTATGGAGAAACGACAGCCTACTAAAGCATGACCAGAGTCGTCGTAGGTATTCAAGTACGAGCGGTAATCCAGGATCAAGCCACGCCACCTGTACCTTGTGGCAATGTGATAAATTTGGATCAATTTCTGGGGAGCTAAAGGAGGACGTCAATTTGCACTTCGGCGCCCACATTGTCATAAAGCAGTGCCGCTAAGAAACAACTGGTGCTCCGCACACATTTTCAGCAGACACTCGCCGTTGTCAGTCCGTTCGGAGTGGAGCATATAATTACCACATACCTGAGTTTCTGAGGAGCTCATATGCCCTAATTTTGGGTTCATATCCCACGTAATACTATAATATCTAAAGTAGTAGCACTGCGTAGTAGCGCGTTCAGTTCGTAATAGAATATGTCATTGGCAGTATTCGAACTGCAATTGGTGGGACCACACACTGTATCACAAACATACAGCGTCTTGTGCTACTTCATGGATCAACCTTAGCTGATGTCGTCAAACAAGTTGCACACAAACGGCTGATCACCGGAATCCAACCAATCAACCATGACGCAAACTTGGAGCTTATAATGATACCTGTAGCGCCCAAAAAGATAACTCTTATCTTTCATGTACAATTTACTTGTTGACCGATTGTACATTACTCCTTCTTGTTTTAATCTTACAACCGGCTCCACACACAACTGCCTTGTAAGTCCCCGCGCTCACGTGTACGCTCTTGCCTCGCTTCATCCGTCCGTTTCTGGTTCTAGCACATCGAATACAGTCCGCTGTGTCCGACTCCAATTGCCTTCTGATATCCGCGTTTAATTCCGCGCATCGTCTCGGACTAGTATTAACTAGTCCTACAAATTGGTGGCCCCGACCATGTGCAGATGCGATGCGCATGGGCTGTTGGACGGTCTGACGATACCAAGTTGAAGCATGTGGTCAAATTCGGCTCGTGCTGCCCGTAGTTTGTCTGGAGCAAGCCGTCTTGGCCGTGCGCTAACTGGTTGACCGCGCGTAACTATGTGGTGAGCGACCTCTGTTGTGACTGGTGGAAGCTCTGCAGAAGGTCGAACCAGTCGCGGGTATTCGGAGAGGAGGCTCAAGTAGTCGGACGGTGCGTATGCGATACGAAATACAGGGCTGATTATCGGGGCATCTGAAAGGACACCATCAACACGTAGTTTCGTACGATCGTCTAAAAGTCTGTGGCGACCAGCATCAACAAGCAACCCAAAATGTCGGACGAAGTCGATACCGATAATCGCGAATGGTACAGACGCAACCATGAAGACCCACTGAAAATCTCGGCGAAGATTGGGGTCTAGGTTCATCATGCGCTGACCGAATGAAGCTATCGAAGAACCGTTGGCCGCACGCAAATTGTACCTAGGCTCCGAGTGCTTGTCGCTAGCGGTCGCTGGGATGACGCTGACTTCCGCTCCCGTGTCGATGAGGAACGTGATGGAAGAACGTCGATCCTTAACGTAAAACAGTCGGTTTGCTTGGTTATTGCATGATACGTTTGTAGTGCTAGTATGCGGGCTATTCGTTTTCCCTGGGTCGTGCCTAATGCAGGGAGCCCGACAACGTCTAGCTCTTCCACCGTATTGGCGGAGATACAAACATACTTCCTCGACGTGTTTGACATTATCTGACTGAGAACTTGTAAGGAAAATGTGGCGCTTTCGTGCCGAACGTGACGTACTCGGTGCAGGTACAGACGAGCCGCAATGAAAGGTAGCCAAAACGTGGTCAGCTTTTGACCGTGGCACCCGCTGCTTTGAAGCCTTCATTGCTGC